AAACCAAATCTGAAATCAGAAATGATTGCTTTGTAAAACACATACTGTCACTGGTAATGAGCTGATAACATCATAGTGTAATGTAAAATTAATAATTGGATTAACAAAAACAAATGCTGCATAAAAGTCAACATAGTATAGTTTACAACACTACAAAGGACATGTTGGTGACGGCCTTGTAGAAGGGCGTCACCAACATGTGACGTTGTATGAACAAACTCCCATGTTTGTTCATACAAAAATGGGGGTTTTCCACCAGTATATATAAGACCGGTGTAGCTCAGACATGTGACGCTTAGCAAACAGAGTTCATTTCAAAGGATTGTAAAATAGCTGAAATATGTCAAATGTAATAACACAGAATATATCAGTACTTTTAACACATTTGCTTTACTAATAATAGCCTAATAAAAATATGAACATTTGCAAATTTACAGTTTCTAACCTGAGTATATGAGACAATAGGAGAAACCTACAGCCAGTATATATAAATGAACTGCAGCTAAACTCTGATTATCATTTACATTATGTGTGGACATACCAATATATTGCATATACAGTTTGTATATAAGGAGTTTTTTAAGCTGTCTTTTTCTTGAACGGCCCCGTTGCAGTATGTTAAATACCCCAATTCTTTCATTTTTGGGCTGAAGGAAGAACAACACTCGGTGTATAAATGGTGTATAAATGCTCAATCAAAAATCTCTTTATTCTATACAATTCTTTCTATACAACACTTTGAGCATTACCGATGTCCAGACGGGAGATGTGCACAGGAGGGTGTCTGGCAACATCTCGAAGTGTCCAACAGTTACAGACTCTTACAGCTTTTTCCCCTTCCCTTCAGGGCCATAAAGCCTAAACCCTCACATTCTTTCTATCTTACAGCGCCTAAGTGACGGCCTTGGCTTCCTGTCTTATCTCCTCCTGATGAGATGGGGCAGAAAAACTCTACAGTATGTTCTGTTCTCTTTGTAATCAGAAAAGGAAGGCCATGATTCTACACAAACAGCATTTCTTATAACTCAGCAGTATAATGCATCATAAAACAGTGTAATGATTTCACAACCTTTAATCAAAGGCATAATGTGGCCTATGGCCATACAATGATTCAACAATTATTTGATTACAAGTATAAGGTGGATAAGATGGTGTAATACTCTCACAGGTAAGATGGTGTAGCTTCACCTTCTGTCTCTTCTGCTGAGGTCGGGATTTTTAGAAAAGGGGGGAAAAAAGACATTAAAGTGATTTTAGAGTAAAATTATGAAGCCACTACACAGTGTGTAGATGTTTTTAATGACCTTTGACCTGCCGGGCCAGGAGACGTGGTCCTGCCAGTCCGATACCCAGTGCACCAACTGGAGCTGTGGTCAAGATGGCTAACACCGCTAAGGTTAGCACGTCCAAACCAAACTTAATTAAGGCCTCGTCCCCTTCCTCCCTCGCCATGTCCAATGCCTTGGAGCCAATGGCAGCCTAGCACATACAGACATAAATAACTGCTCAGAAGAAGTGCAGATTAACAATGAAGGAATGTATCATTAAAATCACAGAGGTGGTTTTAAGGTAAACAACGGTACTTTTTTAGTTTTTAGTCATAACTGAGGAAGATGTATAGGACCTTGGGTTTCATGACTAATGACAAACTAGAACATGTTTGTGAGATTATTGTAGTAATTTAGGTTTTCGAAGTCAATAAAGAGAATTCAGGAACCATGTAGGTAGTTCTAATCAATTCAATCTAGTGATTTCAGTGGTTTATAAAACACACGATGTGTGTGGATAATTTTAGTGGCTGTTCTGGACACCAGTGGCATTTTAGGAGTGTTAAGAGACGTTATGGATGCTTTAGAAGTTTCTGGATAAATCTGAGGTGCTTCTAGTTCTGGTTTAATAAAGTCAGGTACATTATTCTTGAAAAATGAATATCTTCTAGCAGTCTAATATCAACATCACAGACCTGCACAGTAGCTTTAGGCAGCCAGGCCACAGAAATGAAGAGCTTCTCTTTTAGGTTGAATCCTCCATAATGAACCAACAGGAAGGTGACAAGTAGACGGATCACCAGACCA